TGCTGCTCCTGCTGCTCGTGGCCTCTGCTACCTTATTGCTGCTGCCTTGCTGCTGCTGCTGCTGCTGCTGCTGCATCTGTTTTTTCTCTTCTCCTCAGTTTTTCTCCTTTTTGTCTTCTTTTGTGTTATTTCTTTTTTGCTTCCTTTTATTTCTTTTTCATTCCTGTTCGTTTCTTTCATTTCTTTTTTATTTCTTTTGTTTCTTTTTCGTTTCTATTTCTTCTTTTTCTTTTATTTCTTTTATTTCTTTTATTTCTTTTATTTTTATTATTTCTAATTCTTTTTGTTTTATTTCTTTTTGTTTTTCTTTTCAGGAGTTGGCCTCTCTGTTGTGTTTTTTGCATCCCTTTGCCTTTCCTTCTGCGGAAAGTCTTTTTAATTGTTTTTTCGAAAAAGAAGAAAACAAAAACAAAATTGAAATAAATAAAATTGAAATAAATAAAAATGAAATAATTAAAAATGAAATAAATAAATATAAAAATGAAACAAGCAAAGGTGAAATAAACAAAAATGCAATGAGCAATGTTGAAGTGAATAAAGGCGAAAGTGAAATAAATAGAAATGAATTAAATAAAAACGAAAACGAAATAAATAAAAATAAAAACGAAATAAATAAAAATAAAAATAAAAAAAACTTTTTTTATTTTCCGCAAATTCACCAGCAGCTTCTCGCCCGCCTCGTGGCCCTTTTTGTTCTCCGCAGAACTCTCGCCCAGGTTAAAATCTTTTTCACTTTTTTGATCTTTTTGGATCTTTTTTTAAATCTTTTTTAAATCTTTTTTGGATCTTTTTTGGATCATTTTGGTTTTTATTTTATCGTTTTTTCATCTCTTTTGTCTGTTTTGTTTTTTTTGATCCTTTTTGGTCTTTTTTTTGTTTCTTTTGGATCTTTTTTGATCTTTTTTGGCATTTTTGTCTCTTTTGGATCCCGTTTTATGCTTCCTTTATCTCTTTTTGTCTTTTGTTTCTTTTTGTCTTTTTATTTCTTTTTATTTCTTTTTTATTTCTTTTATTTCTTTTTGCCTTTTTGTATTCTCTTCCTGGCCCTTTGTTTGTTTTTATCTTTTTTGATCTTTTGTTTATTTTCTTTTGTCCTTTTTTTGGTTTTTTTTCAATTTTTTGTCTCTTTCAGTTATCTTTTGGTCTTTTCTTTTTGACTTTTCGACCTTTTTATCTTTTTCCTTTTTATCTTTTTTAAAATCATTTTTATATTCCTTTCATTTCTTTTTATCTTTCTTAAATCTTTTTTATTTCTTCTATTTATTTTTAAAATCCTTTTTATGTCTCTTTATTTCTTTTTTTATATTTTTCCAATTTCACTTTCATCTTTTTTCCTCTTTTGTTTTTTGTTTCTTTTGACTTTTTTGTCTCTTTTATTTTCTTCTGTCGCCTTTCGTCTTTTTTAGTTTTTTTAAAATCCTTTTTTGTCTTTTTATAAATCATTTTTGTCTCCTTTTAAATCCCTTTTTGTCTTTTTTGTCTTTTTTGTCTTTTTTTGTCTTCTTTTTTCCCTTTTTGTTTCTTTTTTGTCTCCTTTTTTGTCCCTTTTTGTCTTCTTTTTATTTTCTTTTTTGTTTCTTTTTATTCCTTTTTTTTCCTTTTTGCTGCACTTCTTCTCTTTTTATCCTCAGCAGCAGCTGCAGAGGCACCCGCCTTGTTCACGTCCCACTGCTGCTGCTGCTGCTGCTGCTGCTGCTGCTGCTGCTGCTGCTGCTGCAGGCGCAGCACGCGTGGCAGCTGCCGCCGCTGCGGGAAGTTGTGCTGCTGCTGCCGCTGACAGCAGCACAGCGGCAGCTGTATTTGTGGCTGCTGACGAGGGACTCGCGGCTGCTGCTGCCTTCTTCAGGTGTACGTACACCCCGCGCCTGCAGCACCCCACACAGCGTCTGCTGCTGGCAGCACAGCAGCAGCAAATACGAGCAGCAGCAGCAGCAGCAGCAGCAGCAGCAGCAGGATGCCCCCGTTGCCCGTGCTTTGTTCGCTTCCCTCTTCCGCCGCTGCTGCTGCTTCTGCTGCTGCTCCTGCCGTTTCAGCTTGTGCTGCTTCTGCTGCTGCAGCTTCTGCTGCTGCAGCTTCTGCTGCTGCTGCTGCTGCTGCTGCTGCCTTAACGAGGCTGTCTCCAGCAGTGTCTCCTTTTAGCTTTTAGTGCTGCTGTTGTCTCTCTCTTTTTTCTTTTTTTCTTTTTTTCTTTTTATATCTTTTCTCTTTTTGTTTTTTGTTTTTATTTTTGTGTTCTTTTTATCCTTTTGTTTCCAATTTGCCTCCCATTGCTTTCTTTTTTCTTCTCTTCTTTTTTTATTTTTATTTTTTTATTCATTTCCATTTTTATTTTAATTTATTTTTCCTTTTTTTTATTTTCTTTTTTCTTTTTTCTTCACAGGCAACGGAGAGCTCCACAGGCATCATACGGGGCATTCGCAGTACATCAAACCCTAAACCCTAAACCCTAAACCCTAAACCCTAAACCCTTACGTTGCTTGTCCGTTGAGCCTGCTTCTGCTGCTACCGCTATTGCTGCTGTTCCTGCTGCTGCTGCTGCTGCTGCCGCAGCCTTTGTCCCTGCTGCTGCTGCTGCCGCCGCTGTTGCCGCTGCTGCTGCTGCTGCTGTTGCCGCCAGCAGCAGCAGCAGCAGCAGCAGCAGCAGCTAGAAGAGCGGCATTTGCTGCTGCGTCTCTCGTGCTGCAGACCTCAACAACCTGTACATACACCTCAGAAAAGCAGCAAACCATCCACTTCTTTTCGCCAACAAAAGCACAGAGACCCCCCCGCCGCTGCAGTCCCTGCTGCGAGACTCAGCAGCAGCAGCAGCAGCTGCTGCTGCCCCCAGCAGCAGCAGCAGCAGCAGCAGCAGCAGCAGCAGCGAGGAGGACCTGGAGCCGTGGTGGGGAGCAGCGGAGGAGCTGCTGCTGCGGGGCTCGAACAAGCTGCTGCTGCTGCAGCAAATAGTGGCTTTTTGTTTGCGAAAAAGAGAAAAAATAATTATTTTTAGTTATTCAACTTTGCTGCTGGACCTCGCAAACGATTTGCTGCTCGAAGCAGCAGTTCTTCCCGCCCGCCTCGACGGCCAAACCCCAGAGCCCCAGCGCCGCAGAAACCTCCAGGCCTTCCTCAGGCCGCCCCCCGAAGTGAGGGTTTAGGGTTTAGGGTTTAGGGTTTAGGGTTTAGGGTTTAGGGTTTAGGGTTTGGGGTGTGGGGTGTGGGGTTGGGGTTTGGGGTGGTGGGCTTGGGGTGTGGGGTTTGGGATTGGGGTCTGGGGTTTTGGGGTTTAGGGCTTGGAGTTTAGGGTTTGGGGTTTAGGGTTTAGGGTTTAGGGTTTAGGGTTTAGGGTTGGCTGGGGCTGGCTTGGGGGGCGCACGAAGCGGGGGCGGGTTACAAGGGGTCCTGCTGCTGCTGCTGCTGCTGCTGCTGCTGCTGCTCGTATTTGCTGCTGCTGTGCTGGCTGCTGCTGCTGCGTTGCTCGCCGCTGCTCTCATGTGCTGCTGCTGCTGTTTGCTGTTGCTGCTTGTACTTGCTGCTGCTCTTACTCTCTGTTGCGGCTGTTATTTGCTGTTGCTGCTTCTATTTGCTGCTGCTCTTATTTTCTGTTGCTGCACTTTTCTGGGGTTGCTGCTGCTGTTTGTTGCTGTGTTCGTTATTTGCTGCTGCTGCTGCAGTTATCTGCTGCGGCTGCGATTTGGTGCCGCTGCTGCTGCTTCTTGTTGCTGCCGCTGCTGTTTACTGCTACTGCAGATATTTGCTGCTGCTGCTGCTGTGTACTGCTGCTGCAGCTGCTGTTGCTGCTGCTCGCGTCATCCGCTGCTGCTGCTGCTGCTGCTGCTGCTGTTTGCTGCTGCAGTCCCCAGAGCTGGAGGGGGACGAGGACGAGGACTCCTGGAGCCCCATGGTTTTGCTGCTGTCGGTCTTGGCTGGCGGCTACGGCCTCAACCTGGTGGCCCCAGCCCAACCCAGCAGCAGCAGCAGCAGCAGCAGCAGCAGCAGCAGCAGCAGCAGAGGGTGCCGCTGCTGCGTGTTTCTGGAGGGCGGAGGCGCAGGAAACCCTCAAGTTGAAAGACAAGCAATTGCTCGGATTCACCGCCAGGGCCAAATGCGGCCAGTTGTTGCCATTAGGCTTATCTCAAAGCACACTGGTGCTGCTGCTGCTGCTGCTGCTGCTGCTGCTGCTGCTGCTGCTGCTGCTGCTGCTGCTGCTGCTGCTGCTGTTGGTGGTGCTGCTGCTGGTGTTGCGGTTCCTGCTGTAACTGCTTCTGCTGCTGTTGCTGGCTCTGTTGTTGCTGTTGCTCCTGCTGCTGGTGCTGCTCCCGCTGCTGCTGCTGCTTCTGCTGTTGCTGCTGCTGCTGCTGCTGCCACTCCCGGCTCTGTGCATGCATCACTCTGTTTTGCTGCTGCCGCTGCAGCAGCGCATGCAGAGGGCTTAAATCCATGTTTCAACTGTGCAGCAAAATGCACCTTTTATTAAATTAAATTGTTTGCAATTTAATTTTATTTAAAAATTAAAACTGCAAAAAGAAATTAAAATGGATGCAGCGGCGTTGCGGTGTATGCTGAGCTTGAGTTTGGGGTGTACGTACAGCTCGTTCGCGGCGTCTTTGCTTCCAAACTTTTCGGAATTTTGCATTTTAAAAGAATTTAATTCCCAAAACATTTTTAATTTGTGGAATTCTTTTGCATTTTGCATTTATTTTGCTGAATTGTTTCAATTTTTGCCAAACTTTTCTCAAAAAGTTCTCTTTTTGGTTTCTTCTTGCTGCAGTTGAAGAAGTCCTTTACCGCCGCGGGTCCTCCAAGCTGCGGCTCTCGGAGACGGTGCTGGCAGCAGCAGAGTCTGCTGCTGCTCCTGCTGCTGCTGCTGCTGCTGCTGCTGCAGCAGCAGCGGGCGGGGCGGACACTGCTGCAGCAAAGCCGCCCCTCAAGAGCCTGCAGGCCTTCGACTGTGGGGCCCTGCTGCTCCCAGAAGCAGCAGCAGAAGCAACGAACCTGCAGCAGCAGCAGCAGCAGCTGGTGGAGTCGCTGCGCTTTGGGGCTGCAGCTCTTGCAGCAGCAGACAGCAGCAGCAGCAGCAGCAGCACGGGGAAGGCAGCGGCGCAGGAAGAGAACCTTTTCGATTCCTTGCAGATAGAAAAGATTCTCGAAGATGCTTTTAGTGATGCTGCTTCTTCTGCTGCTGATGCAGCTGCTGCTACAGGGGCTGCAACAGCAGCAGCAACGGCAGCAGCAACAGCAGCAACAACAGCAGCAGCAGCAGCAGCAGCAACAGCAGCAGAGGACCAGATGAGCTCTGGGGAGTCTATTTATGTCTTTGAAGAAAAAGACTTTACTCCTTTTGTTAGAGGAAATGCTCGCGTAGATGATGCAGCAGCAGTGGAGTCTCTTGCTGCTGCTGCTGCTGCTGCTGAAGCTGCTGCTGCTGCAGATGGCTCCAAAGAAGAGGTCAGTGCCTGGGGCTGCTTTTGCTGCTGCGGCCGCAGCGTTGCCATCTGGGGATTGCTGCTGCTGCTGCTGCTGCTGCCAGGCTGCAAAAGAGCCGCAGATGTTGGTTTTTCCTGCTGCTGCTGCTGCTGCTGCTGCTGCAGGGCAGGCAGCAGCTTCCTCAGGAGACACCTGAGGAGCGGCGAATGAGGCTGCAGGTATCTCCCTTTAGCTGTGGGCACGCTGCTGCTGCTGCTGCCGCTGCTGCTGCTGCAGCTGCTGCTGCTGTTGCTGTTGCTCTTTGGCTGCTCACGGCTCGGGTATACCTCTTGCGTTTGCCGCTGCTGCTGCTGCTCCGTGGCTGTTCACGGTTTGCCGCTCTCCGTGTATCTTTTGCTGCTGCTGCTGTTGCTGCTGCTGCTGCTGTTGCTGCTGCTGCTGCTGCAGCTGCAGCGGGCGGTGCGGCTGGAGAAGCTGTGGAGCGCCCAGGGCTACAGGTCTTGTGCGCTTCGAATTGCTGGAGAGGCAGACCCTCGCTACTTCCCAGGACCAACAGCTGCTGCTGCTGCTGCTGCTGCTGCTGCTGCTGCTGCTGCTGGCGTTGCTGCTGAGGCTGTCGGAGACACGCAGCCAGCTCACGGAGAGTCGGAAGCAGCAGCAGCAGCAGCAGCAGCAGCAGCAGCGCAGCGGGCAGTCCCTGCAGAGTCCTTCTTCCTCTTTCCCCCGCTGCAAGACGACGAAAGGGAGCTGGAGGAGGAAGCCGCGGCAGCCCGCAGCAGCAGCAGCAGCAGCAGCAGCAGCAGCAGCAGCAGGTACCTGCACTTGCGCGTCGGCGACGCCACTCGCCCCCAGACTGTCTGGGGGGCCCCCAGGGGCCCCCAAGTGATTTGCCTGTTTGTAGAAAAGGGGGGCCGGTGGACTTCGAGGGGCTTTTTTGCTGCTGTTGACAGACTCAGTGCAGAGCCGCAGCAGGCTTTCATCCGGGTTCGCTGCTGCTGCTGCTGCTGCTGCTGCTGCTGCTGCTGCTGCTGCTGCTGCTGCTGCTGCTGGTGTCGTTGCTGCGGTTGGCCGTGTGTGTGCGTTTGCTGTCGGTGCGTGGCGGTGCTCGTCTTGCTGCTGCCGCTGCTGCACTATTGCTGTTCTGATTGTCACTGCTGCTGCTGCTGCTGCTGCTGCTGCTGCTGCTGCTGCTGCTGCAGGCTCACAAGTGTCGAGACCTGCGGGGGGGCGACGTGCACTTGGTCCGCATCCGCGAGGGTCTTTTTGCTGCTCTTGCTGTTTGCATTGAGGAGAGCAGCAGCAGCAGCAGCAGCAGCAGCAGCAGCAGCAGCAGCAGCAGGAGAGGCGGCGGCGGCTTTTACGTGAAAGTGAAGGACTTGCTGCGGTGCCTCACGCTGCTGTCTGTACACTGCAGGGCCCACGCAGCGTCGCTGCACCTCCCCCGCTGCAGCACGCCCTGCCGGTACAGCCTCAGCAGCAGCAGCAGCAGCAGCAGCAGCAGCAGCAGCAGCAGCACGAATGAGCTGCTGCACAGGCTGCTGCAGGAGACCTTCGCAAGGAGACAGGTGCATGCGATAACTTATTTGCTGCCGCGGAAAGGAGACACCTCAAGCGGCGCTGCAGCAGCAAGAGACAGAACTGCTGCAGCGGGAAACCCCACAAGCAGCAGCAGCTACCGCAGCAGCCAGCAGCTGAGAGACACAAACGCAGCAGCAGCAGCAGCTGCAGCAGCAGCTGCTGCAGCAGCAAGGCCTGATGCACGGAGAAGAGATGAGCAAGAGGGAAAGATTAAGACAGAAGTAAGAAACTTTTAACGGGGGCTCAAGCAAAAAGGCCCAGCCCAACCTGCTGCTGCTGCTGCTGCTGCTGCTGCTGCTGCTGCTTGTGCTGCCGCTGCAGGTAAGGGGACCTCTTGGCCCCACAGGATGGTGCGCACTCCGGAAAAAGCCGCGGATCGACCCACAACAGCAGCAGCAACAGCAGCAGCAACAGCAGCAGCAGCAGCAGCTGCTGCAGCAACAGCAACAGCCGCAGCAGCAGCAACGGCAGCAGCAGCAGCTTGCCTCTGGAAGCAAATACGCTGGTATAGCAGCAGTGGATGCTGCTGCTGCGAGTACACTTACAGAGGCGGAGAAGAGCAATATAGGCTCAGCAGCGGCAGCAGCAGCAACAGCAGCAGCAGCAGCAGCAGCAACAGCTGCTGCAACAGCGAGGGAGCAGCATCCAAACGCTGAGCAGGAAGAAGGTAGAAAGAGACCAACAGCAGCTGCCGAGCGGCTGCTGTCTAGTCCTGCTGCTGCAGTTGCTGCTGCTGCTGCTGCTGCTGCCGTTGCTGAAGAAAAAGTCGCCCCGTGTTTTGATGCGAAGACGGAGACACAGCAGCAGCAGCCGCAGCAGCAGCAGCAACGACAACAGCAGCCACAGAGTGAGCAGCAGCAACAGCAGCCGAAGCAGCAGGAGCCACCACAGCAGCAACGACTGCAGCAGCAAGAGCGGCTAGAGCAGCAACGACTGCAGGAGCAACAGCAGCCGCAGCAGCAACAGCAGCAGCAGCAACAGCAGCAGCAGCAGCAGCTGCAGCAACGAAGACTGCAGCAGCAGCAGCAGCAGCTGCAGCAGCGAGGGTTTAGCCGGCCCCTTGTGCCCCCAAATGTGGGGTTTCGAGTGTCTCTACACAGCAGCAGCAGCTTGTGGCTGCTGCACTCCTCTATCTGCAGCAGCGTGCTGCTGTACCTTCGCCAAGCCCTATTAGCTGCTGGTGCTGCAGTAGGGTTCGGGGGCCCCCAAGGCCAGGGGGCCCCCCAGGGGCAGCAGGGGGCCCCCTACTCTCGGGGGGCCCCCCAGGGGCAGCAGGGGGCCCCCTGGGGGGCCCCCCAGGCCCCCTGGGGGGCCCCCCAGGGGCAGCAGGGGGCCCCCTGGGGGGCCCCCCAGGAGAAGCAGGGGGCCCCCTGGGGGGCCCCCCAGGGGCAGCAGGGGGCCCCCTGGGGGGCCCCCCAGGGGCAGCAGGGGGGCCCCCGAGGTGGCCCTCCAACTGTTTGGCTGATTGTGGGGATGGGCTTTTTGCAGGTAAGCAGCAAAGAGAGGCAGCAGCAAAAAAGGAAAAGAAAAAGAGACTGAGAGACAAGAGGCTGCTGCTGCTGCTGCTGCTGCTGCTGCTGCTCAGGAGGTTCTGGGCCTGGTGGAGCAGCAGCAAACGGAAGACGCTGTGCTGCACCCTGCTTTCGCCCGACTTGCTGCTGCTCTCGTGTCTGCTGCTGCTGCTGATGAGCAGCTGCGCCGGCTTGCTGCAGCATGGGCCTTTTCTGGGTTGCTGCTGCAGCTGCCGTGGTCAGAAGGTTTTGTTGCTGTCTCCTTCTGCAGCACGAGCCGCGGAGACGCAGCAAACCAGCCTGCTGCTGCTGCTGCTGCTGCTGCTGCTGCTGCTGCTGCTGCTGCTGCTGGTGTGGGGCGACTTAAAGTTCGCCTCGAGTTCTCAGATTTCGCAGAAGCTGCTGCTGCATGCGGCGCTGTCCCGGTGTCTTTTGTGTGGCAGTGGCAGCACCGGAGGGAGGGGCGGGGCCCTGCAGCAGCAGCAGCAGCAGCAGCAGCAGCAGCAGCAGCAACAGCAGCACGAGCAAGAGGGGAAGCAGCAGCGGCGGGGCCCAGCACTTGGCAGCAGGCCCTGACTTTGGTGGGCGAGTGGAGGCAGAGAGCAGCAGCAGCAGCAGCAGCAGCAGCAGCACCGCAGCAGCAAACCACAGGGGACAGAGCTGTCCCGCTCACTCTGCTTGCTGCGCTGCTGCTGTGGGACAGGCAGAGACGGGCGCAGCAGCAGCAGCAGCAGCAGCAGCAGCAGCAGCAGCAGCAGCTAAGTGCTGCTTGCAGCCCCGTTAGCTTCTACGGGGCGTAACTGAGGTGTACGTACACCGCAATTTTTTGGTGCCACAGTGTCATGCATGCATAAAAACTTTGATTAAATGATTAAAACTGATTTTATTTGTTTGATTAAAGGGATTTATTTTTATTAATAAATAAAACTTTGATTAAATGATTAAAACTGATTTTATTTATTTGATTAAAACTTATTTTATTTAATTCAGCAGCTGTCGAATTCAGATTCGTCCCGTGAGGCGAGCTGTACGTACACTGCTTTGCGCCGTTTCCACTTTTTGATTTTTGAAATGAATAAAAACAAAAAAAAATAATTAAAGAAAAATGAAATAAATGTGACTCAAAAGAAAAGGCAATCGGGAGAAAAAGATGTGAATTAGAGTCAAAGAGAAGGCAGCAACACTTGGGAGAAGAGGCTTTATCTGTTTTGCTGCTTTTCCCTTAAAAGCTGCAGCAAATTACGAATTGTTTTAGCTGCTGCTGCTGCTGCTGCTGCTGCTGCTGCTGCTGCTCTTGCTGCTGCTAGAGGCGCTGGTGTTGCGGGGGCCGCCACGGGAGGCGGCGGGGCCTCTGGGGCAGAATGCAGAGTGCAGAAATTAAAACAAATGTTTAATTAATTAAAAATAAATAAATAAATTCTTGTGGGTCCTGAAGATCCGGTGAAAAGGGGGAAAGTAGACGCCGCAGGCTGGTAGACCGTTTCGAGGACCACCCCGAGTCAGTTGTTGGCTGCAGTTGGTCTCGAGTGTTCTTTCCGTTGGATTTATTTGAATAGTTTTCGAATTTCGAGATTATTAATGCATTATTTTTTTCTATTTTTCGTTTTGGTCTTCAGTTCGAGGGTTAAGGGGTGACTTGGCCACGGCGGCGTGGTCGCTTCTGGAGAGCCCCAGAGGCTCGCGGGACTTTCTTTGTGCGTTTCAAAAGGAATCTGAAAAGCAGAAGAATAAAAATAGCGAATCACTGAAGTTGAAGTTGAAGATCTGCGTTTAATTGGGGTGTACGTACACCTCAGCTTCGCTGACGGACGAGGCCGTGCGCCTTTCTGCTTTCTCTGCACTGGTCTGATCGCGACTGCAGCAGATCTAAACTTCTTCCCTTGAGCTCTTTTTATTTCTTCGTGCATTAAATTATGTTTTTTTAATTCTTTTCCGCTTGCATGCGCGTTTTTCCTTCCGATTTGTTCCGCAGCAGAGCCCGGGTAGCCTAGATACACCGAGACACCACCCGACAGCAGCAGCAGCAGAGCGGAAAGCGAACCAATGGCTGCTTGTTTCCACAGCAGCAGCACAATTGGCTAGCTGTTGCTAGCAGCAGTTTTCAAACTAAGTCCAAACAACAGCATCTCGGAGAAGTTCCTCAACATGGCGAGCTGCTGCTCTTGCCCGCAGCTGGGCAGCTCTGTAGGCGGCTGGCTGAAGCTGGCTGTTGCTGCAGGTGGCATAATTGTTGTTTGCTGCGGCTCAGCCCTTGGGGGCCCCCCGGGGGGCCCCCCAGGGGCCCCCCTTGGGGCCCCCGCTGGGGGGCCCCTCTACCTGCAGAGTTCAGACGCAGGGCTCGGCCTGGCGGCCGCAGCAGCAGAGAGGCCGCGCAGCAGCAGCAGCAGCAGCAGCAGCAGCAGACTTGCTGCAGCAGACGCGCTCGTGGCTGCGGCCGGCCGCGAAGGCCGCCGCCGCAGCCGGAGAAAAGAAGTTGAAGAAGAACTTGAAAAGCCTTTTGGACTCGCGAGGGGCCTCAACAGGCAGCAGCGCGAGGGCTTTTCTTCGGGACTTTCTGGAAACAAAAGAACAGCAGTGGGGCTCTTTTTGGTTCTCTGCGGGCTCGTTTTGACAGGTGACAGTTTGTTTTTTGAAGTTTGATTTCCAGATAAACTCGATTCAGTTTCATTAATTTCTTTATTTGAAGAAGAGACTCTTTTAAATTTAATTCGAGTTTTAATTTGTTTCTTTTTTCTTAAAAAAAAAATTCAGAAAGTCAAGTTTTGCAGTTTCACTCCGCTGCTTGTTTCTGCGTGAAAAGTTGAATTTGGGTTTCAAGGTGAATTCATCTTTTTGCATTTGCGTCTCTTTTCTGAATTGTGAAGTTTTTAATTAAATAAATAATTTTATTTAATTAAATTGTGAAGATTAATTTCTTTTAGTTGTTTTTGGTTTCTAGAGAGATGCAGAGTCAGAGCTGCGGAGTTGAATTTCAGCTTCAAGTTGAATTCTTCTGTTTGTTTGGAACAAAAGTGATTACTTTTCGAATGCAATTTGTTTTAATTTAGCGTAATCAAACAGCAAATTAATAATTCGTGAAAAGTAATTTAATTTAATTTAATTTAATTTAATTTAATTTAATTTAATGTGATGTTTCCACAACGGTGAGGTGTATTGGTGGGTTCGAGTTGGTTGAAGCATCGAAGTTGAATTCAAGTTTCAAGTTGAATTCACATCTTCGTCGATTCAACTTCTGCTTCTCTTCAAAAGTCTGATCAATTATTATTAATTTAATTTTAAATAATTCAATTTATCGTTTCTGCAAAGGAGTGATGAATTGATCAAGTCCGAAAAGTTGAATTTCAAGTTCAAGTTGAATTCATCTCTGGATTCCCGCGGTGGCGAATCCGCGGCTGATCTGACCGGTAATCTGTCCTTTTTTGCATTTTTTTTGAATTTTTGTTTGCATTTTTGTGTTTTTGTTGTTTATTTCTCAGCAGTGCATCTGAACAAGTACAAACAAGTGCCCGCGAGCGCGCTGGACAGCCTGCGGTGGCGGGGCTACAGAATGCGGCGAGATGCCTCTCCAGGGGAGAGGCAAGCAGCAAGCATTTTGGATCGTTTGTCTCTTTCTTTTTTCACAGTGGGGCTGGGCCTCGTTGTGTTGGCAGCAGGACTGTCAGCAAAGAAGAAAAGGAATGGGAAGCAGCAGCGCCTTCCGCTGCTTCAGTTGACGGGCGCAGACGCGGAAGCAGCAGCAGAGCGGAACGCAGCAACAGCAGCAGCAGAAAGGGCAGCAGCAGCAGCAGCAGCAAAGGCAGCAGCAGAAGCAGCGCACGCAAAGGCAGCGAATAGTGCACCGGAAGCGACGCCCTCAGCAAGGATGCAAACAGCAGCAGCAGCAACGGAAGCAGCAGCAACACAAGCAGCAGCAACTGCAGCAGCAGAAGCAGAAGCAGAGCCAGCAGCAACGGCGACACCAATAATATATGAAGTGGCTGTAACTACAGAAGCAAAAAGAGGAGCGCCAGCAGCAAAAGCAAAGCCGAAAGAAGCAGCAACATCAACTGCAGCAGCTGCAGCAGCAAAGCCAGCAGCAGCAACGCAACCACCAGCAGCTGCAGCAGCAGAAGACACACCAGCAGCAGCAGCAGCAACGCCGGAAACGCCACCAGCAGCGGCACCACTGGCTCCAGAAGCAGCAGCGCCGACAGCAGCAGCAGCACGACTTGAAGCAGCAGCACACGTAGCAGCAGCAGCACACGCAGCAGCTGCAGCACAGCTGGCAACAGTAGTAATGGCTTCAGCAGCAGTAGGCGAAGCAGCAAAGCAAGCAGCAGAAGCAGCACCAGCAGTCCACGCGGCGCTTGCAGTAGCAGCGGCAGCAGCAGCAGCAGCAGCAGAAGCAGCAGCACTTGGTGCAGAAAAGTCCGAAGCAGCAACACAAACTGCAGCACTAGTTGCAGCAGCAAGAAAAGTGGCAGACGCAATGGAAGCAGCAGCAGACGCAGCAACAGCAGCACAAACAGATGAAGAAAAAGCAGCAGCAGCGTTCGTAGCGGCGGCCTTAGCAGCAGCAGCAGCAGAAATGCCGCCAACGGCACCTCAAGAAGCAGCAGAACCAGCAGCAACAGTGCCAGCAGCAGCAACAGACCCAGCAGCAGCAGCAACAGCAACAGACCCAGCAGCAGCAGCAGCAGCAACGCCAGCAGCAACACCAGAGACGACAGACGAAGCAGAGGCGACACAACCAACAGCAGCAGCAGCAGCAACACAACCAACAGCAGCAGCAGCAGCAGCAGAAACACCACTAACAGCAGCAACAGAAACACAACCAACAGCAGAAGCAGCAACAACGCCACCGACAGCAGCAGCAACAGAAGCAGCAGCAGCAGCAGCAACACCAGCAGCAACACCAGAATCGACAGACGAAGCAGAGGCAACACAACCAGCAGCAGCAACACAACCAACAGCAGCAGCAGCAGCAGCACCAGCAGCAACACCAGAAACAACACACGAAGCAGAGGCGACACAGCCAGCAGCAGCAACACAACCAACAGCAGCAGCAGCAGCAACACCAGCAGCAAAACCAGAAAGGACAGACGGAGCAGAGGCAACACAACCAGCAGCAGCAACACAGCCAAGAGCAGCAGCAGCAGCAGCAGAAACGACACACGCAGCTGAGGCAACACAAGTAGCAGCAGCAATACCGCCAACAGCAGCAGCAGCAGCAACACCACCAACAACAGCAGCAGCAGCAACACCACCAACAGCAGCAGCAGCAGCAACACCAGCAGCAACACCAGAAACGACACACGCAGCAGGGGCAGCACAACCAGCAGCAGCAACGCCAGCAGCAGCAGCAGCAGCAACGCCAGCAGCAGCAGCAGCAGCACGAGATGCACCACATCCAGAAAGAACACAGACAGCAACAGCAACATTGGCAGCAGCAGCACATCTAGCAGCAACTGTGACGGAAACAGCAACAGCACCAGCAGCAGCACCAGAAGCAGCCACACTGGCAGCAGCAGCAGCGACAGCAGCAGCAACAGCAGCAGCAACAGCAGCACCATTACAAGCACAACCAGCAGCAACAGCAAAAGTAACAACACTAGAAGCACAACCAACAGCAGCAACAACAGCAGCAACAACAGCAGCATCACTAGAAGCGCAACCAACAGCAGCAGCAACAGCAGCACCATTAGAAGCACAACCAACAGCAACAGCAACAGCAGCAACAACAGCAGCACCACCAGAAGCACCACCAACAGCAGCAGCAGCAGCAGCAGTACCACCAGAAGCACTTCCAACAGCAGCAGCAGCAGTACCACCAGAAGCACCTCCAACAGCAGCAGCAGCAGTACCACCAGAAGCAGCAGCAGCAGCAGCAGCACCACCCAAGTCCATACCCACAGCAGCAGCAGCAACAAAGCCTGCAGAGGCAACAACAACAGATGAAGAAGCAGCACCAGCAGCACCGGCAGAAGCAACACCACCGGCAGCAGCAGCGCCACCAGCGGCAGCAGCAGCAGCAGCAGCGCCAGCAGCAGCAGCAGCAGCGCCAGCAGCAGCAGCAGCAGCAGCAGCGCCAGCAGCAATAGCAGCAGCAGCGCTACCAGCAGCAGCAGCAGCAGCGCCACCAGAAGCAGCAGCAGCAGCCGCGCTACCAGCAGCAGCAGCAGCGCCACCAAAAGCAGCAGCAGCGCCAGAAGCAGCAGCAGCAGCGCCACCAGAAGCAGCAGCAGCGCCAGCAGCAGCAGCAGCAGCGCCACCAGAAGCAGCAGCAGCGCCAGAAGCAGCAGCAGCAGCGCCACCAGAAGCAGCAGCAGCGCCGGAAGCAGCAGCAGCAGCGCCACCAGAAGCAGCAGCAGCGCCAGAAGCAGCAGCAGCAGCGCCACCAGAAGCAGCAGCAGAGCCAGAAGCAGCAGCAGCAGCGCCACCAGCAGCAGCAGCACTTGCAATGCGGCCAATACCACCACCACCAGCGTCAGCAGCAGCACAGCCGCAGCAGCGGAGGAGAGGGTAAAGCGCTGCAGCAGGCAAAAGCCGAGAAGCCGCAGCAGCAGCAAGAACGCAGCAGCTGCAGCAGCCGCACGGGCAGCAGCAGCAGCAGCAGCAGCAGCAGCAGCAGCAGCAGGAGCAGGAGACAGTGAGCATTTGCTGCAGCACTCGACTTGCTTCTTTCCTGTTTGTACTTTGCTTTACTTGCATGCTTAGCAGCAGGGAAGGGCCCGTCCTATTCGTACATTATTTTTGTTGCTTTTCGCGCATGCACAAACTGCCTTCAGAACGCATGCATGCAGCACAAACTGCCTTCAGAACGCATGCATGCAACGCATGCATGCGTTTGCAAGGTGCATGCATGCGTCTGCAGGCGCATGCATGCGCTTTGCATGCATGCGCTGCATGCATGCGTTTGCAAAGTGCATGCATGCGTCTGCAGGCGCATGCATGCGCTTTGCATGCATGCGCATGCAAGACGCATGCATGCGTTTTGGGGCTTTCTAGTTCTCGGGGCGCTGCATGCAGCTCCTTCAGGTGTATGTACAGCTCGCGGACCCACGCCCGCCGGGGCTGCAGTTCTTTCCACTTCGACTTTTCACTTTTCTTCATTTGAAGTTCAAATGCCATTCTTCCAACTGCAGCAAACCAAAGCCCGGGGCCCCCGCAGCAGCTAGCAGCAGCAACAAGGCAGCACTTCTGGCCCCCAAACTGGCCCTTTGGGGCCCCCTGGGGGGCCCCGGCACCCACTCTGGGGCCCCCTGGGGGGCCCCGCCAGGGGCCCCCCAGGGGGCCCCAGAGTGGGCCCTGGGGGCCCCGCCGGGGGCCCCCTGGGGGCCCCTAGGTGACCCTTCAAAAGGCACTTGGGAGCCCCGGAAGGGCCCCTTCGCTGGCCCCTAGGAGGCGCTTGGGGGCCCCTGAGGGGCCCCTAGGTGGCGCTTGGGGGCCCCCGGGGGGCCCCTGGGGGGCCCCTGGCGGGCCCCCCAGCTGCCACACCAGACCAGAAGGGGGCCCAGAGGGTCTTTAAGGTTTTTTCTTAATAGAACGGCAGCTGGGGCATTCCTCAGCGTGTTTGTTGGCTGTTCTTGTGTGCGTGAGCGCATGCAAAGTGCAGGCATTGCTGCATGCGTTGCACATTTATAGGTGTCTAGATATGTTTTTGCATGCAGATTTTGATTCTAAAATGAATTAAATGTTTATTTTTATGTGGATATACTTTTTGGAGCAAAAACAAGGAAATGCAGGGCTTTTGAAGCATGCACAGGCGAGCCGGAGGGTGCAGGCAAGCGACTCGGGAGAAAGCTTGGCTCTCGCTCTTGTCTGTTCCATGGATTATTTCTATTGCAATTTCCTCAAAGTAAGAAAAGAAATTCAATTTAAAGCACATGAGTTTGTTTAAAGACAGCTTCCCGCTGTTGCTGCTGCAGCAGCTGCAGCAGCAGCTGCTGCAGCTCGAAACCTGCGGAGCCTCGCGCGCTGCAGCAGAGCAGCTCCGTTCAAAGGCTTCTGCTTCCTCGCAGGCTGCGCAAATAGATTTAAAATGAATAAAAAAGTGAAAAGTGGAAAATTAGAATGCAAAGGAGCTGCTTTCCTAGTTGGGCTGCAGCAAGCATGCTGACAGCCCCGTACAGGCACAAAGGATTTGGCGGCTGCTGCGGCGCCTCCGTTCTCTTCTGTCTCGGCCCAAAACCCCTTGTTGAGTTCAGTTTCGTCGGAGTTTAAATAATTTAGCGGAAAATTAAAGCCTTAAAGTCTTTCAGGAGCCTTAAAGCCTCGATTTTGGGGGCTGTTTGCGTCGGCGGCAGCTGCGTCCAGTTCCAGCGTCTGCAGCGGGAGCTGCTGCCTCGTTTTCTTCTCGCCGTGGCGAACTTTAAAAAGGGAAAATTAATTAAATAGACCTTCCCTTAGTCTTTTTAAAGCCAAAAGGCTCAGCTTTCCGGGGTGGCGGGGCCTGGGGCTCGCCCGCTGGCTGCGTTCAACTTGCATTCTGCATTCAACTTGCATTCAAGTCATCGGACCGCGTTTCTGGGCGCCTGCTGAAGATGCAAGACACTGAGGGCGCCGGCCTCTGGAACTTGGGCTATTTGTGGCTGCTGTGGGACTTAATAAAGCTTTTAATTGCCTTTTCTCCGCTGCTGGTGATCGCAGCGATCTTCGTGACCAACACGGAGAGCGGCGCCAGCCGAAACGAGAAGCCGGACTTCCAGCTGGACCCTGTGGAGTGACCACTGCCGCTCCGCCGCAGTTCGAACCTTTAATTCCTTTATTTAGCTTTTATTTTAACTTATTTAGCCACTTAAAAGCGCCAATGGAGCAGCCGTTTGGGACTTTCCGCAGGCGAAGCCCGTTCAAGTTTGCTGCTGCGGAAAGCGCTCGCGCTGCAGCACTTGCGGATGTGCGGAGGAACTGCAGCAGCTGCTGCAGCGCGGCGATTTAACTTTAATTGGGTCAATTGCATTAATGGAATTAATAAAATTAATTGCTTTGTGGATTAATTGAGTCCTTTGGACGAAGCGAATCCGCTGGACTCGCGGATGTTGAATTCAAGACGGAAGTTGAACGGCTCGGCGCGCAGCTCGCCGCGATCTTGCAATAAAAGAAGAGCTTTGGAAGCAGCAGCAAACCTTTTGGACTTTTTCTTTTTCTCTTTCCGATTCAAAATTAAAACGAAAAGAAAACCATTTCCAATGGCAACTGAGGCCGCATGCACTTTGCTGCAGCGCGCTCTTCTTGCTGCTGCATGCGCGAGAACTGCCAGGGCCTGCACTTGCATGCAAATCTTCGCACTTCGCAATAAAAAGCCGAAAATAAAAGGCTTTTTTCTTTTCTTTTCTCCAAATAAAACAATTAATTCAAAGTGCAACTTGCACAAAAGCAACTCGAGAAGGCGAGCCTGCTGCCGCTGCAACTGGAGCCGTCTGCTTCCTTCTTGCTGCTGCAGCGAAGCAGCTGCAGCAGCAGTTTTCGCTGCTGCAGCACAGAACCTGCAGCAGCAGTGTTCGCTGCTGCAGCACAGAACCTGCAGCAGCAGTTTTCGCTGCTGCAGCAAAGCAGCAGCAGCAGCAGTTTAAGCTACTACAGCACAGAACCTGCAGCAGCAGTTCCCGCTGCTGCAGCAAAGCAGCTGCAGCAGCAGCAGTTTAAGCTACTCCAGCGGAGAACCTGCAGCAGCAGTTTTCGCTGCTGCAGCAAAGCAGCTGCAGCAGCAGTTTAAGCTACTGCAGCACAGAACCTGCAGCAGCAGTTTGTGCTGCTGCAGCAGAGAAGCTGCAGCAGCAGTTTGTGCTGCTGCAGCAAAGGAGCTGCAGCAGCAGCGTTTGCTGCTGCAGCACCTGCAGCTCACAGTGGGCTCTAGGGCTCCATTAAGTGAAAACAGAAATTGTTCGTTTAAAACGAAAAATAAAAACAAATATTAATTTTAAAACAAAATAAAAACAAATTAATTTTAAAACAAAATAAAAACATATTAATTTTAAAACAAATAAAAACAAATATTAATTTTAAAACAAAATAAAAAAAATATTAATTTTAAAGCACAAAATAAAAACAAATATTAATTTTAAAACAAAAAACAAATATTAATTTTAAAACAAAAGATGAAAACAAATATTAATTTTAAAGCAAAATAAAAACAAATGTTAATTTTAAAACAAATAAAAACAAATATTAATTTTAAAACAAGAGTAAAAACAAACATTAATTTTAAAACAAAATAAAAATAAATATTAATTTTGAAACAAAATAAAAAGAAATATTAATTTAAAACACAAAGTAAAAAGAAATATTAATTTTAAAACAAAAGAAGAAACTTCAATTGAATATTTATTTAAAACAAGAAAGAGAATAAAAATTAAATATTAATTCCAAAACTTCAATTTCGAATTATCTTCTTCAAGTTCTGCTGCTGCAGCAAATTAAATAATTAATAAGTCAGGTGCTGCTGCTGCAGCAAATTAAATAATTAATAAATCAAGTGCTGCTGCTGCAGCAAATTAAATAATTAATAGTTCAAGTTCTGCTGCTGCAGCAATTAAGTATTAAATACTTTATGTTTTGCTGCTGCAGCAATTAATAAATAGTTGAAGTTCTGCTGCTGCAGCAAATTAAATAATAAGTAATTCATGTTCTGCTGCTGCTGCTGCTGCTGCTGCAGCAACATAGCAATAAGTAGTTCAAGTTCTGCTGCTGCAGCAAATTAAATAATAAGTGAAGTCAGCTTCTGCTGCTGCAGCAAGTTGGATAATAAATAATTCATGTTTTGCTGCTGCAGCAATTAAACAGCAAATAAAGTTCTGCTGCAGCAGCAATTAAGGCAATTAAACAGCAAATAAAGTTCTGCTGCAGCAGCAATTAAGTAATAAATAAAGCTCTGCTGCAGCAGCAATTAAATGATAAATGAAGTTTTGCTGCAGCAGCAACTAAATAATAAATAGAGTTTTGCTGCAGCAGCAAATTAAATTATAAATAAAGTTTTGCTGCAGCAGCAAATTAAATTATAAATAAATCTTTTGGTTTGAAGCAGCCACAAAATGCACTTTAAGAAATTCTGCTTTTAAGAAAAGCAATTACACTTTATAAAATTAATTGCATGCAAAATATGTATTTGGAGAATATATTATATCTAATGTAATATTTAAATATATATTATATATTATATATTATATATATTATATATTATATATTATATATTATATATTCTCTAAATATATATATATAATATAATGTATATATAATATTGTAATATATTTATATTATATATAATTTATTATATATATATATAATTTATTTATATAATATATATTATATATATATTTATTATGATACTTACTTTGTTGTGTTACATTATATACTTATTATATTACATTTGTGAATATATTTTGTATATAATAAATAATATATATATATCTACATATGTAATATAATATATATACATACCTACAAATATTGTATATAATAATGAATATAAAATATATATGTACATATGTAATATATTATATATATTATATATTTTATATAATAATGAAT